ATATTTAATAACATATTCCTATGTAAATTTAGCTAATTTGTCGTTAAAAATCACATATAATATATATACTATATACATACTACTACCTGTGTAGATTTGAAATATTGATTCCATGTGTTTACGTATGCCTGACCCTGTGACGTTTTGTGTTGTTATTACTAGTTCTGCAGAAATTGAATGTTTAATGTAACTACAGAGGTTACATTTATTATAAAACAATTACTAAATAAATGTATTGTTAATTAAAAATTGTGTAACAATTGTGTAACTACAATATATGGTACGTTAATTAAACAGTTATGTTCATGACTGTTAAACATGAGATAACGTATATAATTATACTAGACATTATTATTAGACACACATACAGCATATTTTCTATTATAAATATGTATATGAATGCCTTTGTGGAGTTATGAATGTTGTATAAAATATTTTTGTTTGTATATTTCTAAAAAATTTATTTTGTCAATATATTTTGTAAATATTGTATTATTTCCTATTCTTTTTGTTTTAGAAAAATGAATAGTGTTGAGGCTTACATAACTTGCCCATATAACAAATCTCATCGAATTCTGAAACACAGATTTCAAACACATTTATATAAATGTCGCAAACAACATCCAGACATGAAAGTTGTATGTCTTTACGATGCAACACATATGTTAGATACAGCAGAATTTGAGGTAAATTAAGAAATTTTCTATCTAACTTTTTTTTATATTTACTATTATCATTTAATTGATATGTCAGATATTTTATACATTATTAATCCTATGTTTGAATTTAATACTTAGAAATTAATGTAAATATTGTTTTTTTATTTTAATGCTAAAAATTTACTATTGCAGCATCATATGTCTGTGTGCCCAAGCAGTGGAAATATAAAATGTTACCAAAATGTATTAGAAGCAGAAAATAATGTAGGAACAGTTTCATTAGAAGAAGCATGTGCCATGCAGACTAATACACTGGATGAGGACTGGTCTGGAAATTGTGTAGCATATGATCCATTAACTGCATCAGAAACAAAAAATGTAATTAGAACAACAGTTGGTTTGTCAAAATCAATGAGGAAACAATTTAAACAACGTGAAAGAGATAGAATGTCATCTCTGCAAACTACTAGTTATAATAACAGTAGTAATGAAATCAATATACTAGAAAAGCAAACATACTCTGAACAACCATTACGGAAGCCTAAAAATGCTGCTAAAGCAATATCGTGTGTTCAAAGTTCTTCTACTGATGATTTGGCTTCTAAAGTGGAGGAACTTTCTATAAAAAAGAATAATTCTTTAACAAATAAGAATGTTTCTAAAGATAAACAGAATGTTTCTAATAAAGAAAACAATGCTATTACAATATGTCGAAATATTTTTGCGACTGAAGAAAATATATCAGAAGTAAAGGGTGACTATAAAATGAATACTTTTATTTCTCAAAAGAATGAGTCTGAAAAACAAGAAAATTATAAGAAAACTTCTATTCAAACAGGTGATTTTAAAAAGAATGATTTTGAATCTTTGAAAACACTTCAAATAAAACCAAAGATTGCAAATAATTTGTATGGTGAAGTAAGGAAAATTAGTACTGGAAGAGGATTTACTATAGCTTATAAAAATTTGAACTCGAGCATTCTAAAAAGTGAAAAAGACAATGAAAATTCAAAGGACCTCAGCTCTGTTTATGGTTATGACGACGATTAAAAACGCTTTAATTAAGCTGTTTAATTAATTTTTTCATGTATTCATTTACGATATATATTACTTATCTTTTACTATAATGTATTTTGAAATATAATATTATATTTGAAGAACATCAGAAGAATATCTGTTTTAATAAAATGATATAAATAAAAATATATTAAATGTGTTTAACTGTACAACCTTTTTATCAATAAGGAAATGATTAAACAAATAATTGATATATAATTGATAGCTTAATATTTATGAGATATTAAGTGTTGTTTGATATAAGTACCATATTTCTTTAACTACAATACAAAAATAAATATTTCATACCATATTTGTCATTATTTTGTAGTTTACTTTCCCGAAATTATTATTTATTACAATAAATTGATTGCAGTCATATTATTGAACATATCTATTCCAATGGAAAAATTTTATCGAATTCTAGAACGAACTTATGTGTTCCAAAGCTCTTCAAAAAGCTGACTAATACAAATCACTTTTAGTTGCTAGTGTCAATTTTTCAATTTTACGTATTATAGTGTTATAATTGTTGCTACAAAAATTTTGCATAATTATAAATATAAAAAAGTATTAA